AGCGCCCCGATAACACGCACTCGAGCCCATGAGACATGCCCGGCATGCATTACGTTTTCCAGGCGCCCGCGCATTATTTTCACGTGCTGTTCTCTCGATTTTTTTATTTTAATTTTTTTAAGAGAAAAAAAAACACGTCGAAAAAATTGATGAGCAAGACGAGATTTTGGGGATTCGAACTGAATACTAATTTATTATTACCATGCAATATACGAACAAGAAAGGTTTATATCGACAGGAGAGATGAATGTCCCTTTTCTGTTCACTGCATTTCGACGCTTTTCTAAACTTCAAAGGAAGTGGGAATAACATTATTGGAGCAGTTTTCTTATCCTCAGTGTCAAGCCTAGAATGTAAAATTTCTAGTACTCTAAAATGCAACCACGAGTGAAATTGCTTATTATGAAAGATGGTTTCATAAGTTGTTTTGTTTTCAAGAAGAGCTTGCACGTCAAGGAGTTCCCAACCTCTGGCAACAACCTGACGTATTGGAAAGCAAGGAACATTGTTGTATCAGAATCTTAGGGTGGGATATTAGATAGGGAAGAAATCCAGAACCATGACTGACGGTCAGTAAGAGGGGTGTAGACAGATTTATCTTTACCAGAACGTCAATAATTGGAAAACTGCAATCAATGCAACAAGGTATTCTATTCCAATTAAAATAAGAAAATTTTGGGTACATCAGAGATTCGATATCGTAAACCTCACACAAATAATTCGAGTATTTATAAATACACGGATAGCTCAAAAACAATGAGGGACTGGTTTGGGTCGCGTACCGCAGTGGATGCAACCCCTTCCAAACTTTCATCTTCTCTTCGCGATTGTGTTCCAAAATCATCAGCTACTAAGATATGAACACGTAGGCAACCCGTGATGAAGTCAAACAGATCTCCTTTCACAATGCCTGGGTCCCGGGGTTCAAATCCCGGGCGACTCAGGTTGGAATTGCAATGAAAAAATTGCACAGCAGCAGGTTTTCTCAAGGTCCCTATCTCCCTGTTTCTCGTACCATCATTTCTCACTCATCATTCAAAAAAATTATTACTTACCCGAAATAAGTTCATGAAGAGGGAGTATGTTTTGACAAACGGCAAAAGAATAATAAATAAATGGAACACGAAAAGTGTAATTTTAAATAAGTACAAATATTTCACTTCCCTCGGTGGCTCATCGGTTAGCATGCTCGCTATCCACAGCGCAACCCCAGGTTCAATTCCAGGTTGGGGCAAAAGTTAATTGTGCGCTTCCCTTGCAATCCCCTGGTATCTGATACTGTGTAACGATGAGAAAGCTCACTTCTCTGGTTGAGAACACCAGAAATGCTGCTGGTAGGCGTTAGCTCGTAAAGAGCTGTCGTGCCAAAGTACATACAAATACTTCAGTAGCAGAAGTTGCACGAGTTGCGAAAAATGCGTTGGAAATTTTGCTTTGGCTGGACTCAAAAGCGTTTTGGGTAAATCGCTAAAGCCGAAAGCCGGAGCCTACTCGTCAACTAGGAAACGCGCGAGCGAAGCAACACAAAATGAACGTGTCAAGTTGGCGATTCTTTTTTTTTTTCTTTTGTCTTTTTTGTTAAGCTAACTTATCTTAACACGTACGTTTTGAATCAGCACCCAGAATCCAGCGCATTTCAAATGTTTTTCCCCGTTTATCCATTTGCTTTAGATGTTTGTAAAACACCACGCCTGCGCGTGGGAGCATTGCCGAAGGCGGCGCGGCGTGAGCGATGTGACCCGCTCCTCGAACCCGTTGCTCGCCGCCCGAAGGTCATCACGCGCGCCCCGCCCCCGCCGCAACAGACGAACCAAGGCGGCGTCAGCCGCAGCTCGAGAGCAGCGAAGCGCAACCATTGCCAGGTCGGGATTTTAAACTTATTCTGATGTAACGGAACGTTAACACGGGGAAACATATTGGTTTATTTGCAAACCAGTAAGTAAACATACCACAGGCATCACTAGATTGTCCCGAAGGACAATGATGTTCATCAATGTGATGCAGAGAGGGAGATGAAAGTGTAACAATACAATCGGAAATTCTCCTCCAACATACTGTATACACACAATCTAGCTAAAACACGTGGGATATTCGGGATCCGCATCCCTGTATTTATGGTCACTAATGTACGAATGAGCAAAGAATAAGAAAGGAAGATGTAAGGAGGAAAAGAAGAGGGACGAAGAGACAGATCAGGAAGGTGGGGATGAGAAAGGAAGGGGGAAAAGGGACGAAGAGAAGGAGAGAGCAGGAAAGGAAAGGCAGAAAGAGGAAGGGCGAGAGAGAAAGATCGAACGCGCACGCGTGTTCCTGCGGCGTCTCCCGCAGAGACGCACGCTATTTCCGGCGGGTGGGCGTGGGCGGGCGGCCGCCATCAGAGGTAGCGTTATCGCGGCCACGCGCGCGCGCTTCTGCTACGCCGGTCCGCACCGCACGGAAGGCGGCCGAGGACTTCGGTAGACTAAGGAGTTTCAAGACACTACTGCGCACCGGAAGATACATTCGTCTTCTTTTTCAGCGGAGACGGAAATCCCAATTCGAGAATTCACCTGATATGTGCGTACTCGCAGAACTGCTAAAGCCTGGCCACACCTGTATCCGATAGGGAAATCAGCCCATCGCTGGCCCTTCAACAAGGCAGGATTTGGAAGCACACAGATGCACCTTAATTATTCTGACAAACATCATGTAGACTCTAGGGAGTTTTTGCACAGAACAGCGTTCCGGAATCGACTGCATTCTCGATCTTCTTTGTACGCGCAGATGCACAAACGAGATGCGAAACGCGAACCGCCCCTGCGCAGAAGAATGATAGTGCTGTAGATTGCTATAACGCTTGGCCGTGGAAAAACTCCCCTCTTATCGCTACTGGAGACAAGTTTTGTGCGATCGATGTGACGTCCACCTCGTTATTTCTTCAGACAACTGTATCCGTAATAATTTTATTATCTTATCTCAAGGAAAATATA